GGTACAATCTAAATAAGTAATAATCAGAAGGAGCAATGTCTGTTGAATAAGCTGGATGCGGTAGGATTTCACATTTCAAGTCCAACAACGCTTCCTTGAATTCTTTAACAATCTGGCGTTGTCATAGAGTAGGATGACTTTGCGTCGATTTGCAGCTATTTGAGGACGCTTTTTGATCAGTTCCTGGTTTGCTATAGTAAACAATTAAGACAACTGAACCGGGAACTGATAAAAAAAGTGTCCTCAAATAGCCGCAAATTGACGTAAAATCATCCTGCTCCATGATAACGCCAGATCCCATATTGTTAAAGAGTCCAAAGAAGCGCTGTTGGACTTGGAATGGAAAGTCCTCCCAGCTTATTGCCCAGACAATGCCCTTTCTGATTATTGCCAATTCAGATCGATGCAACACGCGTTATCTGGTGAGCGCTTCTCCAATGCCGAGGAAATTTGAAACTTAGTGGATGATTAGATCGCGTCAAAAGATGACGAATTTTTTCAATGTATTTATATGCTGCTTGAAAGATGAGCAAAGATGGTAGAAAATAATAGCAAATATTTAACATATATTATATCATTTTATTTTAATAAAGAAAAGTTGTTTAAAATGCGCAGAAACTTTGCCTACACCCTAATAGTATCCCATAAAAAAAAATAATAATTCTATTATTATTATTTGTACCGTTTCGAAAATATTATTTCTCTCGTTGTTTTGTACTTAAAAACTTAAACACTGAGAGGTTGTAGGTACTACAATTTAATTATAATTTAAAGTCATTTTTTGGGTTAATTATAAATTTATATTAGTTGTTTTTATCATGCACATATAAACTTCAACATTGAAATATAATATAATCATTATAACTATAACATGTATTAAGTTTTTCCTTACCATAGCTCTTAATTATTATTACCAGTAAATAATCAGCGATAGTTTAGATTATCATATTTTATAGTACAATTTTTCCATATTTGTGAGAATTATACATATATAAAATTATTGTATAAAGATTATTCGTTTCGCGGGTCCTACGTATCCAGATCCATTCTTGGAATGCCAACGTTTCGTGAACCTTGCAGTCCACATCAAGGCAAGGAGCAGCCTGATACTAATCTATTCATCTGATCCGTTCTTTTTATATTACGTTGGAGTAGTGGGGGAAAGAAGAGAACTGTGGGTGAGGGGAGGTGGACTAAATTGGTCGGTTTTCAATATAAAATTATTATTACTAATATTACAGCAATAATAATCATAAAAATGGATCACCTAGTCATAATTTTTTAATAATGCAATTATAATCAAAAATACTAAATACTTTTCTCTTTGTGTACAATGTTACGTTCAGATTTCAGTTCTTTTCTTCGATTAGAATTTTCGTTGTCATCATAAAAGTTATTAACAAGTAATACCAGTAGATCATCTGTTTCTATCATAGGAAGTTACAATAGTGACGAGCCAAATAACATTCATCTTTTTAGACTAATAATCCACTCGGGACGAAGTTGTTGGATTAAATATTTGAATCAAGTGCCGAATAGATGAATTTATCTCGAGGAACAGAAGAAGTAAATATATTAAGAATTACAAACTGAAAGCAATTGTCTGTAACAAATGACACATGTGATTCTTAACTATTGAACATCCGGCAAATGAAAAAATGTCGATGACGAAAGTTGTTTTAAACACATATCCCAGTATCCCATTTCACAACCGATACCCTTAATCCTAATCCTAGATTAGACCAGTAACATATGCGAGACCTATACGCGACACTACTAACTCGCAAATATAAAAAAGAGATCCTTCGTGAACAGTCAGTCAAAACTCAGCTACAAAATGTCACTCTGCCGGTCCGCAATCAATTCTATCAACCAACTTTAATTGTGATCCACGACACGGTCGAGTTACTCCAGTCTCTCCAAATCATTTTTTTTTCACAGCACATTCAGCCACCTACGGTCAGAGACCACTGAGATCGGACTTCCGACAGTCATCCTCAAAAAGCCGAAACTTGCAGAGTAGCAGCAAGTCCCTCCTTTCAATTATTTACTTTGGGAACCTAATTAAATCACTGTCTAGAAAAAAATCTTAAACAATCCTCCTTTCAACCTTTGCACTCTTAATTTTCTTGCTTCCACAGCTCACTATCATCCTTATCCTCCCACATTCATCGATTTCTTCGATTAATGCTGTATCGTTTACTTTGAAGTCCGCCTAATTTGCGAACTTTACTCTCTCATTATCCGCTTTCCTTTTTTTTACCTTCCAGAGCCTACCAATAAAATATTTTTGTATTTAAAAATCGTAAGTGATCGGCTACGTACGCGCCTTTCCCACGCGGCTAAACGCCTATTCAATGCCGCAGGGAGGCCTGTCGGCTTCAAAATCAGGCTTATCAAGCATACTTCAATAATATAAATAGTAATAATAATACCATAAACATGAATGCTAATAGATTAGGTAACGATAATATTAATAACGATGCATATAATAATCGAAATAATAATAACAATAATAAAGATAACGACAATGGTATTCATCCAGCAGGAGGCCCTCTCCGTCGATCTCCTTCCCCTACCGAATCAATCTCGTCACAGTTAACACAATGAATATTTTTTGACACTCCTCTTCTTTTTGTCCCAATTCTACCGTTGATTCAAAGTCAAGCATGGAGTTTTTAGCTGAAGTCCCCTCTCTCTGTCCTCATTACAACTTTCACCACGTAATCCCCAAACATTATCTTCTCTTCTTTATAAGTTCCAAATTTATATCGAACCCTTTCCCTCAAATACTTTTACCATAGATTTTCAAATCGCAAATCCCAAGCGCATCAGAAGCACAATAACCAAACAACCAGAGGCCCTTATACCTGTTTTCCTTCCCCACTCCTCCCATCCTTTTTTAGTCTCAGTAGCCCTTTCTTTAAATTTTTCCCCCCTCCTCATGTACAATTCATAAAATTAGATAGGTACCACATAGTCGTGAATATACAGGGTTCGCCATATTCGACGGAAAGATGTTTTTTTTTCAATCATGGGAAACGTCGTTACTCGATCTAACATCTCTTTCCCATGATTGAAAAAAAAAACATCTTTCCGTCGAATATGGCCAACCCTGTACACACACTTACCTATATTGCAACATTCACACCGCTCAGTTAATTATTAAGTCCGGATAACTTAGAAATGTAAGGTCCTAATATAGTATAAAATTAAACAATTTATTAACAAGTTAATTGAATTTTTTTTTATTATAATAAATATAGATACGCACGCACGCACGCAATATGTCTGAAAAGTTCCCGGAATGAGGTTATAAAAAAATCAGAGGTTTAAGGTTTCATCTTTTCTTTTATTTAGACTTCTACAAAATCTCCTCCTCTTTCAATACATGTTTCGAAGATATAATGATTGGAAACTATTGTAATAATTCTCTTTCGGAACCGCCTTCAGCTCATGTATTACGTTCGTTTGAATGGTTGGTATGTCCTCCAAAAATTGTCCTTTTAAAGGCATTTTTATTTTGAAGAACAGAAAGAAATTTGCCGGTGAGAGATCGGGAGAATATGGAGAGTAATTTATTGTGATCTGACGTTTGGTCAAAAACCGTGACATAATTAAAGCAGAATGAGCTGGCCTATCGTGAAGGAGTGTCCAATTCCCGGAGGCGATAAAATCTCGTCTGACACATCTCATTCGATTCAGAAGGCGTTTCAAAACCTTTAAATAAAATATTGAATTAATGATTTGGCCAGGTGGCACAAATTTATAGTAAATCAATCCTGAAGAATCAAAAAATGCATTGTCTTCATTTTTATTTTTGTTTGCGAACTTTCATTGGTCTCGCTTCATTAGGGGTTACCCCTAATGCAGACGATTGTCTCTTTGTTTGTGGATCGTACATAAAACACCATATCTCGTCATCAATAATGATAGCTTTTATGAAATCTGGATCCTTGTCTGTTGTTTCAACAAAATCACGACAACAATTCACATGCATTTTTTTCTGTTCCGGAGTTAAAAAGTATGGAACAAAGCGCGCACAAATTTTTCTATGGTTCAAATCCCCATGAATGATGGTAGAAACAGTATCTTTATCGATTTTTAACTGTTCAGATATCGCACGAAATGTCAGATGAGGATCCTCGATTAGTAAAAAACGCACAGCTTTCTCATTTCGAGCCGTTGACAGTCAACCACTTCTCGCGTCATCATTCAATGACTACCTTTCTTAAAACCAGTCGAATATTATTGTGCGTGACGGTGCATCCTTTCCGAACGCTGTTTTCATCATTTCGTGAGTTTTCGTTGTAGTTTTGCCAAGTTTGAGACAAAACTTGATACACGCTCGTTGCTCCATCGTAAAAATTTGAACAGCACGCTTAAACACATAAATTAAAACCTCAGCCAAGTATTCAATCGGTATTAATATAACTTACACATGTTCTGCCTGAAGCTTCTTAGAAACTATTTCTAACGTCGAACGTTAAATGGAGCATTTTGTTTCATAAAAAAAAAATCAGTCCGGGAACTTTTCAGACATACTGTGTGCGTATATATGTGTGTGCGTGTGTGTGTGTGTGTGTGTGTGCGTGCGTGCGTGTGTGTGTGCGCGCGCGCGCGCGTGTGTGTTTTGTTAAAATAAATTGTTCGTAATATCTTGTATTACTCCCTCGTACAAATATCCTGCTAGCATAGGTTCGCATACAGTCCTGTCCCGAATTAGAAGGATTAAGTTCCTTGTCTCAAAATAGGACCCACGATTTTTGAAACTGAGTCATAGTATCTTGTCAAGACGTTGACTTACATTTTGGAATCACCTAGGTGCGTTCGATTCGCTCCATCCCCTTCCATGCGGATGCGTGCGAGACAGAGCGTCTGCTCTAACGTCCTTCCTTCCTCTTCATTCCCTCTTTTTCTAAATCCATTTCCGGAGTTTGGACGTAACAGTCCTTTAAAATTTGAAGGCTCGTCCGGGATGATAAGTGCGATCTTTATGGGTAGGTATGAATATGAAGTCTACATCTAACAAAAATGAAGTTAATAATCATTATAAAACCGCTGTAGAGAATCAGAGTAAGTCTAAACACGATAATCTTACAATACACACATCCACTCCTGCTTCCTCTAAGTCTACACATAAGCAAATTGACTTTTCGTTGGATAACTCTGAGATCGACAAAGATCTGTTTAGAACTCTAATTAATACATTTGTCTCCGACGCTTTCGGGGATATAACAATTCAACCGGCAAAAGAAATTAAATATATTCCTAAGTCAAAAGACGATAGAACAATGGCAAATCCGAATCCATTCGCTATATTAAAGTACGCGGTCGAAATCATTCCTTTTTTCGATGGTAAAAATATTCCATTAACATACTTTATTGAGGGATGTGAGGAAGCAAAATCCATGTTGTCTGTGAAAGCTCAATTTCAATTCATAAAAATTATTAGAACGAGAATTATGAGCGAAGCCCACCGTATAATTCAAGACCAACATTTTGACAATGTATCTTAACTATTAGGTGTACAACTTGTACACCTTTGTTTCCGCCGTTTTTTCCGAAATTCGAGGCTTCATTGTAAAAAACTGATTATACATTTAGGATTCAAAATATTATCCATCGCTGGCCACTACTTTCTCCCATCTTTCGGACAGCGTACGAATCCCGCGTCGAAAAAACTAGTCATCTTTTGAGGCGATCCACGAATCGATTCAATCTTCGACGTCAAAATCACCGTTCTTGAAACGTTGAAACCACTCATGACACGTTCTTTCACTAATAGCGGCCTCATTATAAGTATTTGAGAGCATTCGATGAGCCTCAGCCGCAGATTTTTTCATATTGAAGCAGAAAATTAAAACCTCTCGCAAATGACGAAAATTTGCTCGTAAACTGACATTTTCAATCGAGAATAATTTTATGATGCAGACACAAATCGATTAATGTTTCTATGGGGTTATGTTGACGAATGCCCAAATTTATTATATGATGTCTATGATCTATTTATTTTGACCACCACTTACCTCTAAAGCCATCTATAGGAAAACGGCGGAAGCAAAGTTGTACACTTAATAACAAAATATCTAGAGCAAATTTACGGCCCATCAAAAAATATTTATCAGAGTCAAGAAGAATTAGGTAGTATCTATCTGTGCGAGAGCGCACCGCGCGAAAAGATTCGAGTGAGAGACCGGCGCACGGCTGGTATGATGCACGACAGTAAAGAGAACTCAGTTTCTTTGTAAGTTAACAAAGGAATTTTCTTTAATATGCACAATTACAAATTCAACAAATATAATTAATTA